CGATTTTAACTCCTCTGGAGCAGAATATTGTGTGTTGTATTACTTATTCCTCGAAATCGAATGGTAGATGTTTCGAAATGTCCTTGAGCACTAAACGAGTATAATTTTATAACTGTCATGCAAAATATCGGATCCGTGACCAACATGCGGATGTAGTACTAACTGAAAACCTGGAACTCAACTGTCTCAATATTTTTAAGGCTGTTTGAATGATCTGATTAGATTACCATATGACATTCGAGCGGTAGAGAGAAAAATAAATTTATTTATTTATTTGTTTTTTCAATTTGCGTGTATACCCTCCAGATCGGCGCAAATAAATAACATACCGCCTCACGTAAAAATACGCAGCTGTGTGAAACACTGAAACAGGTTTTCTTGCAGTAAGTCCTATTCCAAAGCTTCTCTACCCACCCGTTTTCAATATGCGATACTTTGTTTCACTTATTCTACTTCAGATGACTTAGGCACAACTACAAATTCGAAAGTACATATTACACAATGATCCAAAATGAAGTTCATTTCACACCGGAAAGTACACTTCCGACCGGCCACTGTGTATATTCGAATACCCCTGGAAACGAAACACTTCTCTCAGTATTTCGATCGATAGAAAGTTATTCCAATCTCTGTATCAACTGAAATGTTTATTCTGGGTCCGGTGTCTTCAAGGGATACTCGAATCTGATGAGCTCTAAGGGAACAGTCTATTTCACTACAACATTCTCCTGGACTGGGAAAGCCAAGTCGTCAGTGAAGACTTGGTGCCCAGGCCAAGTTGCAGGCAGCAATCCTTCGGAATATAAACAAGATCATTACGGCTTCAGCCAATTGCTCAGTCACATTTTTTCTCCTTGGCCCCAGAGGGCCTAGACCTACCTCCATGAAACTGTCCGTTTTCACTTCGGTTTACTAGATCTTACACATTCGGTAGGACTCCTTGGGCGGATGATCAGCTCGTCGCAAGGCCTCTACCTGTGCACAAACACAGAAAAACGCACACACACACAAACTAAACATCCATGACCTGAGTGGGATTCGAACCCACGATCCCGGCTTCCGAGGGAGCGAAGACAGTGCATGCCTTAGACCGCTCGGCTAACGTGACCGGCGCTCAGTCACATAGTCTTTAGAAATTTTTACACACGTGACTTTACCGGGATACTGAATATCGGTTTTTTATTTATAGTTCATTTAATGACACCAGTAAGGTAAATAATATACTGACCACGTAATTATTAGGCATCAGAAAATATTGAATTTGAAAGAGGTGGAATTAGGCGGTTAGATTGCTGGAGAAACTTGGCCCCACCCCGCACCTTGTAATCCTGCTCTTACCCTGAAAACATTTTGTTTCAAGAGGAGGAATTTCTGACGAAGAGAAGAACTATAAGGTTTATTTTGGACTCTGTCCATCGTCTGGTATTCATTCATTCATTCATTCATCAGTAATCTGTCAGACGACAGGTCCACAGTCTCTTCCAAAACAGTTCCTCCACTTAATGCGATCTCGAGCTTTCTCCTTCAAATAAAATATCCTCTTCTGTCCCCAAAGTCATCCAGCATCATCTTACGTCTTCTTCCTCGTCTTCTGGTCACTGGTCACAAAATAAAACACAACGTTTCGGAGACTGGGTCTGTCTTCGTCCTCAGGTGGATGGGGCAGGATAGACCTACTCAGTTGGGCCCGTTAGTCTTCAATCACTGGATTTTTTTAAAAAATTAAATAAGTTCCAGTGATTGAGACTAGGTCTTTCTAACGGGCCCAACTGAGTAGGTCTATCTTGCTCCATCCACCTGAGGACGGAGACAGATCCAGTCTCCGAAACGTGGTTTTTTGTCTTATATATACCAGACGATGGATAGAGTCCAAAATAAATCTTATAGTTCTGTACAGCATACACCATCGTCAGAATCCTTTCAAGTCTATTCGAAGAGAATATTTATGAACACAGAAAGAGCTTGTTGCGCCATGCATTACAGTGTGGGTGTTCTCATTTTACAGGACACCGCCCGCACGTAAGTTATGTCCTACGTAAATTATTGAGTCAGTCTTTTGATTTCAATACACTATGGATACAAACTGCACTTACTCCTATTTGAACTGATTTTAGTTAAATAATTATTCAGATATTCCCCAAACGTGTAAGCCTACAACAGCGTTATAATCGTAGGGTCAGGTTTCAGTAGCGCTGGATATGCTTTACTATAACGCAGTATTTCATGGAAAATGCAATGTTGAATCGACTGATTCCCGTGCAGAGCATAACAACTGTACAGCTTATGTGTATAACCAGTAATAATAAAATTGCACTGATGCCGGAAGGTCCAAATGATCTAGTTCATATTCAGTGGTCCAGCGTGCCATTTTATTACGCCTGCCGATCGTAATGAGGAAAAGCATGAAGATCTCGGTACAGTTCGGGGATACAGACATAGAAACTTCAGTATGGGAGGCGTTTTAGTGTACAAGGATGGAAGCAAGAGATCGTGCGTTATTAAAAATGATTACGCCTCTGCATTTCTGTTTATTTGTAGGTATGAGTTTGAACGTACGTACACTATGCAAATGGCTAAGCATACGTCACATGGATATATAAAGTACGAGCATAATAACGACTGGCTTCTGCCACTGTAAAACGACAATTTATTGTGATGCACAACAAATTAAAGATATTTGCATTACCCTCACCCACCCGTTTTCTTTTCATCAATCTTTTCTAGTTGAATGAATTTCTTTAGCTCTCTTTTCTTTCGTAAGTGGTGACAGTGGGCTCATGCAATCCTTTCAGACTTTGAACCAGTTCTATGACTTTCACGAAATTTGGTATGAAATTCATCCCACCGAAGTGAACTCCAGCATCGCGCATTTTAATTTCCCACAATCAGGTGTAACAACCTAGAGGACGAGCATATTTGTTGGTAGGAAGCGACACTAGCGCCATTTAACTTACGGTCCTGGAATGATGTATGACAACCGGCCATTAAAATGTGTAATTTTGATGGGGCAAACTCAATATAGAAGAAGAATGCGGCGATTGTGTGAAATATGTCTTTAGGTTCGATGGTTGCAAGTAACGAACCATTTGAAATAATCAAGTGACACGAGATACGTCGAACATTATGTGAAATAATGATTGTAAGTCACTGGCTACACTCATAGAAATAGTGCAAAACTCTGAGGTTGGATCTGACAAATTTAACATATAAAAATGCATACTTAAGAAATAAGTTATTTAGGGGAATAAAATAAAACAGGAATAAGAGTAGGTAAGTAGAACTGCAACGAGACAGTAGGCTTTCCGAGATCTTCCCGTATTTTCTTGTTCAGATTATCCTTAATCTTCCTGCAGGATCGCATAAAATTCGTGTTAAGGTTGTATAACCGAGGAAATGCGATCTCTCTTCCTTTCATACGGATCGGATCTCTTCTGTATAATGATTACGATTATGTATAAAACAGCCGACATGAAATCAACTGACTGTTGAAATTAATGAGCCGGATATGATGCACGGCCTTATAATGTTAATATTTATAAAATTCAGAATCCAAAATGGGAGCTGAAATCAGACAAACGACGTACTACGAGCTCCCATTATATTTACAGATCTGCGTGCGCTTTGTATTGCCATTTACATAAGTTCAGAATTCTTAACTTCAGAAATTCTCGAGAGTAGATGTTTCTGTCTTGTTGTTTCTTTCGGAATCTGATGAAAATTCTAGCTTCCATTTCCCGAAATTAATAGTATAAGAAGAACGCCGTTTTCTGGGATGTGGGCTGCAGTCTGCAGCCACCTGCTCATGCTGGATCCTCGCTCTCGCATTATACCCTGAAGACGGAAGCGATACGTTCCTTCGAAACGTCTGTTAACACAATATCTACACGACGGTACATCCCAGAAGACGGCATTCTTCTTAGTCACCGCCGTGAAAATCTCAAATTTCACTTTAATAATATAAATTTATTGTTAATTCAATAAAAATCTTGCGTGGTGTGGCATGCCTGTTATTTCGTTACTGAAGAATGAACTAAACAACTTTGATCGGCTGCTTATATTAGATATCATGTAAAGGAAGGGCATAGTTAATAAGATCTAAAATTTGTGACGATGATTCATTAATAAAAGTATTATGTTTCCGGACATTATCCATCGTCCTGTTTTTTTTTTTTTCAAAAGAAAAATGTTTCGGAGACTGGATTCTGTCTCGGTCTTCAGGTAAAACCTACTCAGTGGGACCCAATCGTAGAGCTAGTCCCTATCTCCAGACACCTGCACCAACACGAGATAGGGTATACAAGCCAAGCACAACACAAACTTTCTGAGAGAGTTAACATTGAAAACGCCACACTTATGACGCTTAACACCAGGGAACTAACAGAATATCCCATGTGAGTGTGGCAGATGTTACATCGGCGAAACAAGCAGGCTTTTAGAACCAAAATGCAACCTGACACAAGGTCAGCTTGAAAAATCAAAATTAGCTTAGCATGCATACGAAGAGGCCCACGAAATTTGTTGGAACGAAGGGTAGGTCTTGCAGATTGCACCAAACACCACATACTGGAGAAATAAGAAATCCGCCCACATGTTTTCGATAGACAAACCTATCAGTCAACCCTGCATCAACATCTCTCCCTTATGAACTGCCATTATCGCACCGGAAGACAAAAACTGCGACTCCGTCCAGTGTAGATTCAGTGGGGAAATGTATGTTTCTTGTGTTAGTATAATACGGAGAATTCATATATCCAGTGATGACTTATTGTGATAGATCTCTGGTGCTAGGCTCCATACACGTGGAGTTCTTAACGTTTTGTCTTAAATCTTGCTGATGGTTTGTGCTGTGCTTCACTTGTGTGTCCTCTCTTGTGTTGGCACAGGTGTCCGGAGATAAGGACTAGCTCTATCTATTGGGTCCAACAATATAACCGAAGAAATTAAATAATGTCCAAAAAGTATCCGACTTTATTTTTTTCCGCTGTAAGTAATGGCCAAAGAGGTGGGGAAACTGAGCGTAGTGGTAGAAGGGACTTTCATGCGCATGCGTGATTTTTTGCTGACTCGCAACACCACCGGATGCAGGTCTCGAACGTTGGAACCACACACAGTACGCTGATATAAAAGTACGACTTCGTAATAATTAAACTTTTTAAACATATTTTATCCAAAAACATGACACAATTAATCCTGCTTTCATTACCTTGTAAAATGTACTTAGTTGTCTGCTTACTACTGCGTCTCCCGATCTGCAATTTAAGTTTCCTCTCCGTACTGACATGAATCCATATTTGCCCTTAGAACTCTGTAAGAATGTCTACAATGAGGCATAAGAACGCTTCGGAACAAAATTATGCCTCAAGTGATCAAGTTTTCACTTCGTATAAGAAAACGTTTTTCCATCTATTTTATCCTTTTTTTTCGCGTTGTTTCTTATTGGCGAATTAAAATTGATACTATTAGAACAATAAAACGGGACTATTACAAAACTCTTGATTAGATCTTGTTCGCAGTTCTAAGACTTTTAGAAAAATTACGAGAACGTAATACACAAAAAATAAGACCAAAAATTATGTATGAAAAAGTTTTGATATCATGGGCTTCCGTGAGGAAACATTTCGAGATTCTTTGTTTGCGATGAAGATAAAACATAAGAGAAATGTAAGTTTATACAATATATATTCCGTAAACTTCATTTAATGGGAAGATATATTTAAAAATATCAAAATAATATTGCCAAGGTCACCGTCTTCCTCCAACTGCAAACTTAAAGTTTGCTGTTTGTTAATCTTCTTAATTTTCTTTTCTTCTGTATACTTTAGGTGTGTAATATTTTCCAGTGTTTCTGGCGTGTGAAACTTGTAGGAATGACGTACACACCAATTCGCACAGCCTCTGCTCGGTTTCCTTGCTCTTCCAAGAAAGGGACACATTACCCACGTGGAGAGCAGTCCGAGTGTAATAAGACATACTTTATCAAATCAACTTGACGTAAACGTAGTCATTCCTTACCGTTAATTTAAAGGTGTACAGTGCAAAATTATTAGGGAGACAAGCAAACTGTTTTAAAGAATTGTCCAGTCGCAGCAGAACAATTCTTAATGCTGAAAGTTGAGTTAGTTGATTTTACGTCTGTTGGATGAGTCTTCCAGTTCATGTAGGCTTATTTATTCCGAGCTTTAGGGCAAGGAATTAACAAAGAGATCAACGATACACGAATTGTGTAATTGTTCCATTAAGTGAATCAATAATTATTTCGCGCCACCGCCCAGTGACTACTCAGTCGGGGGGTGCTGTAGGGTTGGAGGTGTGACGTCACGTTGTCCCTCTCTTGCCCAGCAAGTTATAGAGCTTATGCAGATTTGTCAGTGTAGTGACGTCATCTGGCTGAAGGCGTAGTGCTTCTCTGTAGCAGCTCGCTGCCTCCATGAATTTCCCGTTCAGATGCAACATGGCACCCAGGTTCAGGTGACTCCTCGCTTCCTGAAAGCAAGATGAGCAAGGGCACAGCACGGTCAGGCAGATCTCTAGACTGTATTTGGTTTATGCAATTCGCCGTTCTCTTGGCCCCAAAATACTCACTTCAGTTGGGCTATTATTACCAAACCGCTGAAATGCTTTTCAGCCTTCTTTCAGACCAGTTTAGTTAGTTAGTTAGTTAGTTATTGGAGAGGGTGGGTTTCCCCATGCACTTAGACCAGTATTGGTCCGTTGCGCTTCCCTCTATGATATTCTGCCAGTCTCTATACCCTACCGATATTGGTGCGTACCATCAGTCCCGACCGAGCCAGCGAGTTCAGCCTCTACTGGCTTGGCGGTATCTATAATGCTTCCGCCATCTATCAGAGGCGTTAGAGACTACTGTTGTTCCTTGAATTTGGCTCAGTTACCTCCTTTGGAGATATGAGGTTCTTTTACGTGCCGTAAAGCTACGACACGGGACCTAAGGCTTAAAGTCCCTCCCGGAGGACTTGTTCCCTGAATTTTTCCGCCCTTAAAAATTCACGACCTCCGCCGTGTTTGAACCCGCGTACCACGAGTCATGAGGTGGGAACGTTACCTCTAGACTACGGAGGCCGCTCAGACCAGTGTAAGAAAACATTTCTTCCCTTCCTTACACTTTAAATTCTATGCAAATATCTGAATCTCATAGTATTTTTTTTTACTTGCATTAAATGTAAAAATCTATGCTCTTACCAGCACGAGGCAACCTTTGTCTGTAAACAGAATTCAGTTTGGTTTCTTAAAGATATGAAGCGTATGTTTAAATACTGTTTACATGCCTTTAGATATATTTCTAACAAATGTGAATATTCCTGTTAACGTGTAAACAACGAGGTATGAGAAGTAGTGAGTCTGGAACGGGGTCCACTCAGCCTCGTGAGCATAACTGATGAGCTACTTCAATGGAAAAGTAACGTCACCTGTCTAGAAAACCGAAATTAACGGCCGTGGGGATTCGTTGCTCTGACTACGTGACACCCTCTATCCGCAAAAGTTGGCACTAACTTCGCCGACAAGCGGCGGTTGCTCGGTCGGTATAGTTCGCTTGCGGAATACAGGCCACGGAGTTTTCTTAACAATTAAACGGCATCGATGCGAGGTAAAGCCGTAGTGTGATGGAATGCCTCTACCAGCCGATTTGGTGTGCACGAAGCCAAGCAAGACCGATATGATCCGTCTCTGTGCCCATCATTCCCTCAAACGGACACGTCCATGTTGTGACCCCGTCCAAAAGAACAGAATTCTGAGTGCATCCCATGACTCGTTATGTGAGGTATACCTGAGGCTTGAGCTCAGCTGCTCGTCGATAAAATTGTTCTGCACGCTGCTTGTGGCCGGCATGCCTCAACGCTGTGGCCGCACTCAGCACAAGATCGTACTGCGCAGGCGCTAGTTCCACTGCCCGCACGTATTGCGCAGCCGCCTCCGCGTGACGTTCCAGCTCTGTAAGGAACTGACCTGCAACATAAGCACAAAATGGAGTTCGGTCTGTGTTCAAACGAGGGGGAGGGGATTTCATCCCACGGAATAGCAACATTAAAATTGTGTCCAGGGGAATCTGACAAGCAAATTGAGATTGCCAAGGAAGTATTTGTATATGTGGGAAACCTGCTCGATCTTCCGCGAGACATCTTGCCGCTGCTGATCCTGTTTTAAGGTATAATTCGCAAGAAGCGTCTCTTGCGTCTGGCGATGCGGCGGTCTGCACATGCGCAGTAGGAAATTATTCAACCGCAGCGTCTCTGGTCGACTGCCTACAAGACCAGTATAGCCGCACAGTCTCATGGACCGTATCGCTTCGAGAGGATACAACAATGGCATTTTCAAGCACAGAAGACATTGTTTTAATTGAATTAGTGGCACATTCATCCTTCATTAGGTGCCTATTAATTAGGATGGTATTTAATCCCTCCTCCAATCTTGCTTTGAACATGTCATGCACAGATCTACACGTATTTCCTCAATTCTCGTTCAATATCAGATGCAAAATTTCATCGTCTTCCTCCTCTTCGAGCATCAGTAGACGAAGAGCACCGCTTTTATCCATGTGTTTCCCTCTCACTATCGGGAAGTACGTAATTACGCCAACCGCACCAAATCTACCCGATTACAGCCGCGTCTTATGAATGGTGCAATCCTACAGCCGCTGCGGCTTGAGTCGTGCTGTTCTAATCGATTCTTGCGAATCATACCTTTACGTGTCTGCGTGTTTCCTGGCACAAAAATTAGCCAGTTAGATGAACGTAAGGCCATTCCAAGGCGACCCTTCACTGCTACTTACATCCTTCGGTCCAACGATGTGGAAAACTCCGTCTGTTGTCTGTCTTAAAGTGGAGATGACAAACAACACGAGGCACCAGCACGTGTTGGCGGGCCACGTCAAACAGAATCGAGAGTTGCAGTTAAAGGTGCGTGAATGTGTTGGAATTTACGTGGACTGGAGGCCGTAAGAAGAATATAACTCTAAATGACATAAACTAAGGTACAAGAGACTGAAACCCCGTTCCTCATTCGCGTCATTCTTATGGTATTTATAACCAAATCAATTTGGCGACATATTTCTCAAACTCTTCATTGTGTAGCGGGATCTGTAAACCGAATCTTCACCATAAGGCTAGCTTTAGTTCCCCTCTCCCTCACGGCTTCTTCGGGTGGCGCTGTAGCACCATTTTACGCCTGTAGAAATTAATTACGCTTTCAAGTAAAATGGCAGTCATGATTTTAAAGACTGAAATATTCCGCGAATCCTTGTTTCTTTATGCAAAACAAATACACATAAAATGAAACGATGATTCGGAGGAGTACTATCTTCTGGGATGTAGCGCCTTGTAGTCCATTAAAAGTCAAACTACCATTCGGAGGAACATATCGCCTCCATCTTCAGGATGGAAGAATAAGCCGAACAAGAAACCAGCATGCAAGCAGGTCTCGGCTTATTCTTCTACCCTCTAGATGGAGGCGATATGTTCCTCCGAAACATCGGTTGATTTTCAACGGACTCCCACATATCCTACAAATCATAGTAATGTTGTTAGTGTGATAGGATGAACGGGGGTCAGAATGATGTAACTGGAGGAGATGCTGATAGATGTGGAAGTAAAAATATTGTTTATGGTGGAAAAAGTGTCAGCCTTATTGCTGATGAGAGTGGTGGTGGTGGTGGGGGTGGCGTTAGTTGTGGCGAACGACTGAAGAGAAGAAGTCACCCACGACGCTGAGATCGTAATGATCCTCACACAAATGTAACAGGCCCACAATGGTCTGAATTCAACCATGACACCGTCTCAGCAGAAAAATTTTGAGGTGGAGATATTTTTTATACCTCAAAATGCGTCTGTTACGGCTACGAGGATTCAAATAAGAGACTGCGATTTCTGTTATCTACTGCAAAGCATTATCTCGGAGAACTGAGAGAACCTGCGGGAATGTCATGCAAGAGAACCGATTTATGTCGGTTAGAATCCAATACCTCTTGTCCGTCCTCTCGTTTACAGGCGGGTTTTCACTTCCCAACTTATGTAACATGCCTATCATACTGGTTGCGCGATGTCTTCGCCCGCTCAAACACTGAGATCGTGGTTTCAAATCCAATTCGAGTCTGCGTTTATTCTGTGTAGGCAGCGACCTTGCGACGGGATGACCACCCCTTTAAGGAGTTACCGACTGTCTGTGGGAGCACGCGGTACCGTAATTGATTGAGGCACTATGATACAAGCCGGAAGGTCGCGGGATCGAATCCGATGAGGTGGATTTTTTCAATTGACCTACTCCTTCCAGCCGCACTATGGCCCTGGGTCGACTCAGCCTCTAACAGAAATGAGTACCAGGAATATTCTTGGAGGTAAAGGGCGGCCGGCGCGTAAGGCTGACAACCTTACCGCCATCTATGAGCTGATTGTCTAGAAAATGTGGGAACCTCAACATCTCACAATTGTATGGGCCTCCACGACTTGTTACAGGGATACCGTTACTTACTTGTTTACTTTGCCGACTGTCTGCAAGAATCAAATTTCAGAATTCGGTCTTAATTCTTAAAAGGAACTGGTCTGAGAGCCGAATCCATCAAGAAAAAAGAAGAATTTATGTGATGTGGACTGCAATAATGAATGATAAAAGAAGAGAAATGTCCTAGTCTCCTTCAAAATATTCTGATGGCGTTATATTTTAGCGTCCTGTTGCACTGATTTAAGTCCATGAGCAGGCCCAGCAGTATAACACACGCAGTCACAGGAGCAAGACGCAACACAGAGCACAATACACACACGATAGTGAAAGAGTGCTCCAACAGAAGAGAATAAACGTGACTCGCGTAGTGAAATACGACGTAGGAATGAAATATCCTGTACAATTTTAATATTTTAACACTCAACGTTTATCAATATATATGATAAATATATATTTTAGTTATTTTAACATTAAGAGAAGGCATGCAATGAACTAGTTTGGCGTAGATTGAATCAGCACCTGAAGATGGCACTTTTGTGCCGAAACATGTAGTGCGAGTGAGAAGAGGGGATAGATGAGTGTATGCACCGGAAGACGGAAGAAATAAATCGTGGACTATTCTGATGGCATTAGACCGATTTGTTAAAGAAAACTAAAAACAGTGTGGAACACTAACCTGAACCCAAATGAATAAAAGTCATATACAAAATTTGTTGATGGTGGACCTAGAGACGAAATTGTTTCATGCCAATACAGCCATTGTTCCTTGACGTGGGCAGTAGCAGCGCAACGAACTTTTGTAGGAATTCGACATTAAACAAACGACACTCTCTGGTGATAATAGTTTTGTATTTGTTTTTCATATTACGACCCCACTCATGTGACACTCCCTTGGCAATACCGACATTTATGGCAGAACTCGGGCTTGAAGTACACTCGAAGCAGAGCACAGCGGTTTGCCGTACCTCAAAATGTTATTGTACCTTGAGTAAATACGGCTGAGTTTGTTAGAGAGACAAACGGATGTGGTATATACAGAACAGAAAACATTTAAGCTCTTGAGAAATTACGTGTTTCCGATGATAAGTTCGCTAGGAAAACCACTTCTAGAATAATTCGACAAACCTTTGTGTGATTCTATGGAGTTTATTCTCCCAATTATTTCCGACGCCGGCTGGCACTTACACGTTCTAAAGTTCCTAACCATTGAGAAGAAGTGTCTGAGTAAGTGCACAGTCCACAGCGGGCCTAATTTCTACAGCGGAGACTGAAAACACTTTCAGTACAAGTGCCAGTTACGTTGCGGCTGTCGTATCTCCGCTCGTCTGGATGAAAGAATACTGGTGACATTTAAATTTCAAGTTTTAATTAGGACACACAAGATGAATAATCTTAACAAGTTTTAGTGAGTGTAAATTTATTGTAGTTGACAAATACGCACTTTTAAAATACTTTTTAAATGGTGTTGTGAAGATATATGAGGGCAAGCAATGCAATGGATTAGCGTAATTAGGGCACCTGATGATGGCACTATGGTGCCGAAACATGTCGTGAAGTAATAGGTGAAATTGAATGCACTACAAGACGGCAACTGTATACATATCATGGATAAATTTCATGTATTTTACAATAATGTTAATCTTGTTCATTATTAGATTTCGTTGATCAAATGTAAATATACATTTTGTTCAAGGACAAGCACCTTATAAACGCCTACTTATATATTTACATAAAGGCCTACATTTACTTTTATGAAGAAACATTAAGAAGAAAAATAATTACGTATTTTTCAACAGTCCAAAAGTTGTCCATATTCGTGTGTCCAACCTGCGGTGCCTTGCTTTAGATATAATGGCTTCCTGCCATAACGTTTCCAGTTGTCCATTACCATCTAAACAATGGACTCGGTGTACTATAAAATGCCTTTCCCCAGGCGTTATCAGTTCTTCGTTCCGAGGTGTGGTGGCATTAGTTTCTTGGACTTGAGGCTATTCCTGGGTACAGATCGAGAGATCCGGGTTCGATTCCCGGCGCTATCAAAATTTCTGAGAAGTAGTGGGTCTGGAACGAGGTCCACTCAGCCTCGTGAGGATAATCGAGGAGCTATTTCAAGGAAATAGCGGCTCCGGTCTAGAAAACCGAAATTAATGGCCGTGGAGGTTCGTTGCGCTGACCACGAAATACCCTCTATCCGCTAAAGTTGGCACAAACTTCGCCGACAAGTGGCGGTCGCTCGGTCCGTATAGTTCACTTGCGGGCTAAAACCACGGAATTTGTTTTACATGACATAATGCATGTAACAGAACAGTTGATGATATCTTAACGGTAGTTGCTTCTGATTGGGTTTAAAAGTGTGCTGCTAGGCCACATAAGAGGCCGTGTCATAGCTCACGCCGTTAGTCGTCGCCTTTCCACCGCTGCGGCCCGGGTTCGAGCCAAAGTCAGGTCATGTAGGATTTCTGGTCGACAAAGTGGCATTGGGGCAGATTTTCTCCGAATACTTCGGTTTCCCC